TCAAGCAGAGCCCTCCAAATAAAATTATTCCTATGGTGCAAGACTGGCTCGTGCGTAGACAGTAGACGCGGTGTGATTTTCGGGAGGAAACGATTCAGCGGCTATATAATTCGCCGTTAATCGCAACAGTATTATTATTACTATATAGGCACCTATAGCGTGTGTGCGATCGTTTGTGTTGATAATAATAACGACGATAAAATTATTATTATTATTATTATTCGGCTGTGGAATCGCGCGTGCGGTGCGGCCGGGTAAATAATAATATTATTAGGTAGGTACGAAAAACGATCGGCCGCGCGACCTACCCAACGATGCGCGCCGTCGTTCGGCGACCCTGACCTATGCGTGACGGACGGCCGTGTCCCTCAGGTCTAGTGTCACTCGCGGCTCAAACGAATACCAGGGTCCCATCAGCGCCGCTTTCGTTTCGCGAAATATTTGTGCAAAATACGCGGCGGAGCAAACAAAATATTATAATAATATTTTGTATTATTTAGTAAACATCATACGGTATGTATGACCTCGAAAATTTCACGTGTCCAAGACGCAATAATTATTATGTTAAAACAAAAACAGTTGTTGGAGGTTTGTGTTTACAAACCGACTTTTTTGCAGTAACATAATTGTTACGGTGAATGGCGTATTGTGTATCGTATTGTTAACTATATAATATATCCTCACTAGTGCGTCTCAAGTTAAAAACGAACCCGATAAATAATGAAATCAAGAAAATATAATATTATTGTTCAATCGCACAAAAATAATAATCAGTGTGATTGCAGCCGTACAAAAATATATCACAATAAATTATAATTTTCAAGCAGCGTTTTCCTGACGGTTATTTCAAAAATAACTCAAAATTATTGATTGGAAAATGTTAGGTCAATACTTGAATTTTGTTGCTCGTATGAAGTCCTTGGTATCAATTGGACTATTTAAAATAATTTAGAAATGTTTTTGGTGAGTACCAGAAATAATTAATAACCAAACATTTGTACCTCCCTTCCCTAACCAATATCGAAAATTATGTACTAATATACAGTGTTTTAAAGTATTTGAATGGTATTTTAAATACTTTTTTTTATTATTGAATACTATTTTATTGAATACATTTTTTTATTCTTTTAATTCTTAATTTGTTTTTATTTATAATCGTTTATCGTGTTTATCCTTCAACGTTATAACAATATTTTATTATAATATATTTATAATTTATGGACGACACTTCGATATCGATTTACGTCGATTAATAGCTTAATTAATTGTTTTTCTCCAGTCGTCGACGACTTTGGTACGTCGGTACCAGAATACCTAAGCTTATTAAGTCAATAACAAAATATATATTATGCAATAAGCTTTTGCTTAACAACTTTAATTATACTTTATAATTTATTTAACTATATGAAAATATTATTACTAATTATTAGTAATACCTATTTTCCAAGAAAATGGTTATTAATAATATCATCGTTTATCGTCGACAACGATCGATGACGGTATGGGATATCCAAATACATACCTATATAGTTTTAATCTAATATATATATTATACCTCTGTAGAGAAAAGTTCATTGTTGACTGTTGTGGAGGAACTATCACTAAAAATTAACTAACATGACTGATCAAAATTTTGATTATTGAATTCATCATGTTTTTAAAATGCAATATACAAATTTTTGATTACAACAAATTATATCGGAAATAAATAGAATTTTTTTTTTGTATTTGAAGATTATTTCAAATACTTCTAAAAAGTATTTGAGTATTACTCAAATACTTAACTTTTTATATTATTTGGGTAGTATTTTAAAAGCATTTTTTACAACACTGCTATTATATTATCTATAGTCCGGTGTGCCGTTTTTATATCATTGAAATGTATATGATAATTTTGATTTTAGTTTATATACGTTACTTTTTTTTTAACGTTTATTTGAATATACACAATCTGTAAATGTTGTTTTACAATAAGCGCATGTGATGGAGGTGTCGTGGCTTGAGTGGCTGGAGATAAGAGGCCGCCCATTGGAGGCACTTAAGGTTGGGGTATACGTTACTTAAGTTAAAATACAATATTTTTAATTCGTAATATTGTATACTAGCTTATAACCCCGGCTTCATTTACATTCAAAAAAATAAATACTAACTTCTACTATTATAATTTGCAACCATTTATAAACAAAAAAAAAAGTTACGATTTCCACCTCGAATTTCAAAATCCTTGACTAAGGACCTCTTTAAAATGCGAATTTTGGAAAAACCTTTTTTAGTGGGTCTTTACGTCGTAAAACGAAACTACTGACCAAATTTCATACTCAAACAGCATCGGTGGTTCCGACTAGGTGATGATGAATCAGTCAGTCTCAATCAGGAAAAATTATTTTATATTATAGGTATATATGTAGATATATTGGATATAAATACTATAATAATACCCAAATGGGGTGTCACTTGTATATAAATAAATATTAGTTAATCCATCATATTTTAGTTTATCAACAAATCTGTTTTTACCAACATAACTATCATAATTTATAATACAATTAAACGCGTGTATTTAACAGAAAACTATTGAAAACAACTAAAAATTAAAATTATTTGACAGATTCTGTAAACTTTTTTGTGCTTACTCAGACAACCCTAACCTCGCCACTCCCATATCACAAATTTCAACTATACTATTATAAATTACTATTTGCAGTTATTATAAACTAAGAAATACCTCCACCCACGAATTTCCTCTAAACAAAAACAAAAAACAATAATAGTAATAAATGCGACGGCGACATTACCGTATTATATTTAGGAGCAGTACATGTGGCCGTCGCTGTGGCAAATCGTTGGCAAAAATTTTCTCTACCATAACACCGCAACTTCGAGTGATTCACGAGACCGCGTTGTAAATTATTGTACCATATTATTATATATTAACGTTTGGCCACGTCTCGATATACCTATACTGTGCTGATCGTCACACTGAATTGTGATCTGAATTCACGGGTATACATAACGGGAAACAGTGGAAATGACAAACGGATGTAAAAAACGTCGCTAAAATAATATAATAATAAATTATTATTATAATACATGAGATTTAATATTTTGCGACCGTCGTGCCTGAAATAATAATAATAATAATATGTGTGCTGTATATTGTGAAAATCGAACGCCTTTTTGTAAAAGATTGTGGGTTATTAATAATTGTTATAGTAATGCAGGAGTCTATATACTGTACTATATCTCGGGAAAAAGGCATATATAATCCCATTATAATATTAACTAAAAAATATTTGAAAATGATTTTGTTTAGATGGCGATGGTACAATCTTGTAAAAAGATACTTTTAATTTGTATTTAAATAGAGATACCTACAAATACATCAACTTAAAAAGTATTTAAATAGTATTTAAAGTACTTTTTTCAATAAGTATTTAAGAACAAATACAAATACTTAGAAAGTATTTAAACACAAATACTTATTTTAATACATTTGTTTTAAGTTTTACCTTTGGGTTCAATACTTTTTCTCTGATATTTTAACTTTAAATTTGACCATGAGATCAAACTCATTCAAACTGTACATATTAATTATTATTATATAGTTAATACTTAATAGTTCATATATTATAATGCATGTTCCATATTCTGGTACTAACCAAGGTACCTATAATTGTATGATAAGTAAATAATCACCGAATGATCGTTTTAATTATTTATTGTATGAGAACTAAATAGATATTATAAGAACCTTTATCTTCACAACAAACCTAGCTTCTGGAGAAAATAATTTATATATAAATGCTATATTTCTGTAAAGAAAATATTTGTATTAATGTATATATTACGTATGTATACTATTCAATTATTCAACAGGAAAAAAATAAGATCATAGGTAAACGTAAAGTCGTAAACCGAATCAGCTGATTGAGTATCGCTTCATTATGGTCCTATGTTTATAGTTTGGAGTTTAACAATAATATTTTGCATTTTAGGAGGCTATGTCGGGAATAAACTTACTAAATTTCAATGATATTACTCATGACTATATTATTATTTAGTCATGATATTAATTTGATTTCTGAGAAAAAAGATAATAAATAATCATTTTTTATTGAAAAAAAATCGATAAAGTATTTAAATAAAAGTATTTGATTTTCAAATACAAATACGTCCAAAACTGTATTTAAAATACTTTCCAAATACTTTATTCAAAAAGTATTTAAAAAGTATTCTAAATACAATAAAAGTATTTAAATACATTTACTCAAATACTTTTACTCAAATACTTTACAAGACTGAGATGGTATTATTATATTATACGACCACATCATTCAGGATAAATTGTGATACCAATTTGCACAACGATAATACGATAAAATCGAATTTGCATTGGAACTTTGAAACTTAGCGTATCCTGTGGGGCAAGTTTAAGGTAGTCGATGGGAGGTAGACGATGCTGCTCGCTCCTAGTTTACTCACTCGCCATTGTTCCGCAATTATAAAACAATTAAAACCTTATCCCACCGTTTGTTCACTGCTCGTTCGCGATACATGCACTCTATGCCGCAGTAGATGATAAAATAGATAGGTACCTAGATAACTATTCTCTCACAACACATCGTGTGATGTTATATAGGTACCTAAATGCCCGTAAATATTTTAATTACTAAATTAATACGAGTAAATTGAATCATGTGCAGAGAAGATAATCGTCGCTTGCATAAAAAATAAATAAATATTACGGTATTTAAAATTAAAATAAATATCGTAGTTTTTACAGTTACGAGAGCGGCGAGATATCTGTATACGCTCTACACAATTACAAAATATAAGTTTCGTTTGCAGTGCTCAGTATCAGTATATTAATTATTTTCCAACTCGTTGTGATCTTTAAACTGCGAGAGTTCAAACAATAGTGCGCTTACAACGCATTATTATGAGATAATACACGCGAATAACAATTGTTGGTTTTTATTTGTTTTCCAGATTGTACCATCATGAAGTACATGAACGTGTTCCGGATTGTTGCGCTTATTAGCGCTCTATGCATAAACAGAACCTTGGCGTTCACATCCGGCGACGATAAGTTCATAAAAAAATACGCCATGATGAAGGTATGACATGCATATCACATGTATATCTATGTAATATTATCACATGCACTTATATTATATTACATATTATGTGCCTTGCAAAGTATGACATATTATAGGATTAGAACAGTATGGTGGTAAAAGTAAAACAAAACGGTTACTTTCACACTCCACACATAATATATTAAACGAGCAATTATTATTATTACATGGCTCGACGAATAATAACAATATTATTTATTTTTTTTATTTTAAGTATTCCACACGTGTGACATACTGACATCACAATGACTGCGTATACCGTATAAACAACTGTATTTGCTGTGAATAGTGTACGGTTGTCTGCTTAAAACGTCAAGTTAAATAGTACTTAAATTAAAAGAAATAATTGCCGAATACTACTATAAGCCTTTGACGTTTGAAAATATAAATTAGATACCTATATTGTCCGTTTATTAGTACATATAGCAATCCAATTTTATAAACGATCGTTAAAATGCCATAGCTCTAACAACATTTATTCCAGTGTTCTCAGACTCTCAGTTATAGTAAACTCATTTATAAAAAAAAGTTAATATACATTCTATAATAATGTAAAAATTAATAATTATTTATTACTGAAACCCATAACGTTTATTCATTTTATATTTGTATGTAATATACTAATGTATACTATAATGTTAGTAAATATTATAGCTATTATATACCTAAGTATAAAATAAATTAATATTTTCCGACTCTTAAATTATTATTATTATTACTATTATTACAGTTTTGAGTGAGGTAGAATAAATTAAATATTATTTATGCTTCTTTCTTAATAACATAAACGATAAATATGCCGGGATAAATTATAAAATGCTTTACCGAGTAATTGTTTTGCGTTCAATAAAGATTTTCATTTTTTAAATAGTTCAATAGTTATTATAACCGGTCTATTGGCTATTCAGCTATTGTATATAATATCAAAGTACCTATAATAACAGTAAATAATGGCAATAGATGTTTTTCGCGGTAGGTATATGTCACATACTCCTTTCTGCAGTCATATTATTATATTATATTTTATTGGTATTCAATTAATTATTGTACACCGATAAAACAAATATTCAATTTAAAAATAGGTACTTGCAAATTTTGTTTTCAAAACTAAATGGTTATACCATTCGTGTTTTTAAATTTCAATACAATGGTAATATATTTTAATATTTGAATAATATAATGTGCTTACTTCTTTGTGATTCTTTATTATTGTTTGTTGGGAAATCCGTACTTGTCTTATTGAAAACTCCATTCATTCATCAAAACGCCTGCAGTTAGGTACTCAAATACCAAAAATTAAAAATAAGTATTCACACTCGCCGACACCCGCCTTACACAGATATACCTACTATAATATTACTTCACAGGCAATACCATAATAATTATAAAGAGGTATTAAAGAATTAACGTAGGTACACGTAGGTATATTTAGCAATGCATTTTCATTACTTAGTATAGGTAATATAGGCAGTACATCCAAATGGACTAAAAGAACCCTATATTGATGAATATAATATTATTTATGAAGATTCTTCTTATTTTTTCTAAAATATAAAACCGTGTAAACCGTTTTAAATCGTTGAAAATCCATTGTGTGGTTACAAGCGTGAAATAATCAAAATTTCAAATTCGGACAACGCCCAGAACATTTAAGCGCCTATAATTATCTAACTATATATATTATATATAATATATATAATGATAAGCATATAGGTGCATGATTATATTATACTCGGTGAGAGTGGAAAGTGTGCGGGCCAACCTTCTCATTCGGGATTTTAAATATTTTAATCTCGTTAAATACATATAAACTATCAGTAAAATGTACAGAAGTTCTAGCCATACTCATATAAATCGGTATGAATAAATTATTAAACGTGACAATTTTTTCCTCCAAATTTGAGCTGCATATTACAATATAATATAATATAATATAATGTAATATAATTAACATTACCAATAGTCAATAGAACAACTTCTGTAACTCAAAAACAGAGTACCCATAACAATAATAATATGTCTACTACAGAAAAGCACGAAAACTTAACGTTTCGTTATCGTTTTCTTACAAAATACGTAGTTAGAAAAAGTAACTAGGTATAATACACAGATCTATTATAGTATTAATACTGAATAATTGATTTTTGAGTTCTGGCAATATAAAATTATGCACAAGCAGATTTGTGCTCGTTTATATTATCTATTTATTATAATATCATCAGGTGTACGAGAACTGTTTCGGGCCGGAAGTAGTGAAAGAAGTGCGGAAGGAAATGAAAATCGCCACGGCCAAGTGCAACGGAAACATGCCCATGAGTGTACCTACGCCCAACATGGGCTCTTTGAAACTGGCCGCGGCCCCGTCAAGCATACACGAGTTTACCACCAGCTCACACCACCAGCAGAACCAGCACCAGCAGAACCAGCACCAAGCCAAGCCACAAGAGGAGACTTCGTTCAGCAAAACGCAGCCTAGTGGCATTGACATAACGAAACTTCAGCAAGCCATTCTGGCCGGATACAACAAGCACCTGGTGAGTAACGATATTTTTCTTTAATAAAAAAAATTATCGACATCTGAATATATCTAATGTCTATACCGCTATATAGTATATAGCTACCTACAAATCTAAATCACTTTAGTGTGATATCAATATAATATTATTCAGTGTTAATCATTATACAGTTAAAGAGCATAATATTAATAAGTAGTAAAATATTGATCGTCTTGGGTAAACGATAAGTATTATATCAACTTAAAAATCTAAATGAAAAAAACGTGCACATGTTGAGAAAAATATAATGTGAAAGTGATTAGAACCAATAGGCAATAGTCGTTCCACTCTTTGAACTACGGGACGAAATATACGACTCAGTGATAAGAGTTTTTCATGTACGTATATAGTTTATAAACGAAATTTACCTACACAATCTGTGGAGTACACTTTTGTACATTTTTAAATTTTTCTAACCATGTAATAGACTCTCCAGCGCTAACACACGATTATCTAACAAACATTGACACGCCGTTTTCTAATCTGATAAAATTTACTCGGAGTTTAAACAAAAATAATAAAAAGACCACAAAAAAAAATTAATTGAAGCTATTAATGTAATTTTAATTTATAAATTATAACAACAATGACAATAACAGGTATGCAGTCGTAGTGTTGTTGGATAACGGCGAAACGGCCACCAACGTCCATCAATAGAATAGTTGACCACCAATTATTATAACTGACCTTTCCCCATACAATAGATATTTTGCAAATATCCAACACGTTATATTTTATATTATCAGAATTTAATTTGAATGTGCGTCCTGATAATATCACTATTACTATAAAACGAAAAAAAGCCCGCTTTTTTTCCGCCTACCCTATAAAATATGTAAAATATGTTTATGAGTTAGTATGTTATATAAGTCTTAACCTCCTTGAAACAATTTATTACCTACCCACACAAAAGGCCAAAGTATTTAAATTAAATGCTCTACATTATGTATTAGAAATTTACGTTAACAGTCGATTGTATATAGAAGTGCTAGATAATCGTACCTATTTGTATACGTCCTCGAGGCTATCATTGGCTCGTCATCGTCTTCCTGCAGCAGGTGGTTACCGTTTATTTCTTGGGCCACGTTGACCCGGACTATTTCTTCCACCGTCGCTGCAAATATTCAATATGCGGTACGATACCTAGCTTAACCAAGTAGTCCTTGCAGAGACTCGTCTTATTTATTTGGATGTTGCATATCAGACCGAACATGGTAAACACATTATCATCGTTACTGTACCTGCGCAGTGAGGGTCAACCTGTTAAAGTCCAGCAAAGACCTCGGGCGCATTTCCTGTTTCTCGAACACTTTTGGTTCGACGACGGCCCTTAGTCGGCTCTCTGCATGTTCTCGAACGGCTGACTGCATCGACGGTCGGCGGTTTCTCGGAATAGAACTATATGAGTATAGGTATACTCACTGTCTTATGACTTTTCATTATAGTTATAGGCCTATATAGTATATAGTATATACTGATCCTAATTCATCACCGTTCTTAACAAGCAATTTAATAATAATAATAAAATAAATTTCTGTCTATATAGTTTATATTATATATTACTTTTCATAAGTTATAATATTGTTTACTCGGTTAGTTGGAGATGAGGGAAAAATATATTCAAACCACTGCAGTATATACCTACGTGTAGGTCATATGGGTTTTCAACCAAGTTTCGGTTTGATAAAATCTTCTAGGAGTGTGTATCACGCGTTATCCTGCCACGTTATATTGGTTCATTGATTTAACACGCAGCACTGCAGCTTCGTTGTATAGTTCCGCTAATCGTCGTATAATACGATTCGCATTCTGCTTGTTCGTCTCGGTGCGGGCGACATGCCAAGAGCTTCGTGTCCACTCCGTCGATCGTACTTTGGGTTTTTCGTTCATCGGTATAATAGTGCCATGCAATAACATTTCGACCAACTGCAATCTAGATCGATGTCCATACCGGTAAAATAAATAAATCAATTACCAGGACGGACACGCAGAAAAATGTCGACCAAAAATGTGCACGGACGACACTAATTATATTATAATTCGGTCGACGAAATAGTGAGTAACATCAATATGGTTTGAATTCCAATTCGTTGTGTATGGTGTATCGGCACATCGATGCACATTCGACACAATCATGTTCATATAGAAATTATATAAGATACGTACGAAGTTGATTTCCTTGCTTATTTTTGAAGTATTTAACCTCTAATTGTTTTTGGTTGCTTTTTAACAATATTTAAAATATTTTGTAATAATACCTATGTGACGTTGTCACTCAAATTAATAATAAAGTTCTATAATTAATTTTACTATAATATTCACTAAAATTAAAAAAAAAGTTCTATCAAATTGTAAGCTAATCTAAAAAATTAAACACCTGGAAATAGTAATACATTTTAAAACCCTCAACAGTATATAGCTATCTCAAATATAATAAAGTGTATTTTAAAATTGTAATTAAATAATTAAAAAATAATTGGTTTTATTAGTTTTATTTACATAATTACAATAGACATCAATTTAGCTATAGTTGTATGGACGTATGGTAATTGGTAGAGCTAATATCATAGACCTATTAATTAGTGAATAGAAACATATTTATATATATATATATTTGTTTTAAAATTGAAAAAGTTTAAAATCAAATCATAACAATTTAAAACGCACGTAGGTCTGAGTGACAATAAGTGATTACCTGTATAAATATTTTAACTGCATTATAATCAAAGGTACCTAATATACCAGTAAACATTACTAATTAGTAATTACTATATAGAATTTATACTATCAGGTCTAAATATTTTGGAACCTATATTTTACTTCCTGATAAACCATAATATGGAAAATGAATTACGTTTTGGGCCAGTTTTACCGTCTAAGGTTCAACTTCGATTACGATTAATCAGTTGATAACAAATATTTAACCGGGAAAATTCAGCCGATTAAACTCCGGGTAACTTTAATCGGAGACGGTACAACTGGCCCCTTAATGAGTTGGGAAATTTATATCGATAATGGAATCAAAAATGAAAACAAAGTATATACAATTCAAACTTAATGATACATAATTTAATTATATAATATATACTATATAGGATAATAGACTATACATAATTATATAATATACCTAAAATAAGGTTGTACTGCTAATGTGTTTTTTATTTTTATCATCTTCGAGTTAACATTCGAGGACATTAAAAAGGAGTCAGTGGACATAATGTGTCCTGACAAATTAACAGGAAGTCGTTTCGCATAATAAAAAAGCGTATGCAAGCAGCGAGGAGCGTAGAGAAATAATTGCAAAATAATAATCGTAACAGAGGTTAAAAATAAAACTCGTTATTCTAAAAATTCGAAAATGTAATATTATATTATGTATTTATATTCCTACATAAATGATGCGTGGCTATAAAAAATGTTATAATATACATTTAGATTTTAAATTACAACACTCAACAATAATTAAAGGTTAAGTTAATATAGATGTCAAATGTTTTGTTTTTTTTGGACGCCCAACCCACACGATCGGTTGTCTCTATACTTTTGTAGAGGTGCATTGTTAGGTACATATTATTATATTGTCCCCGAAAGCGAATATGTACCACTCGTTCGTGTCCGCAGTGGTTCGAGCCGGTGGCGGTATAAGATCAAATACGACAGATATTCAGTGTGGACGATATTCTTACCTCGTCATCCGACAACAATAATTCTGATGGACAAAAAGTCGGTAAACGTCAAATGATAAAAATTATTAATTGTCGATCGACCGATGGCGTACACCGGTAATGATAACAGCGGCTAAAGATTCGTTGCAACCTAAACGTAGGCTAAAGGTAGTTGGAAAACGAACACGAACAATTGAACAGAAAGTTGACAGCAGTCGCGGTTCTTTCGGTAGCATTGTGTGCCATTCGTATCCGTAAACGCGCCTTTACCAACGTCCGACATAATATAGCAATAATCTGCGTCTAGCACTACAAATATTGAGTTTTTAGATTTTGGAATATTGACTCATCACCAATAACATACTCCACATTATATTTGTGTTCATTACGCGTTACAGCGTAGGCCGAGGCCTGTTGCCAGCAAAGAATTTTGAGAATGAGAGGTTTGGAATATAAAGTGTACTAGTGTACATGTTTTGTGACTAACAAAAATATTTTATAACGTAAATAATCTCGATAAAATTTCAAGAAAAAAATGTCAGCGTGGGGGGGGGCCTAAACCTACACCGCTCCACTGGCTACTTGACGTGGGCTATTTTGTGATATTTTAATTATTCTCTGATACAAAAAATAATTTGTAATAATTGTAAATTTTTACATATTTTGTTACTTGCATATACAAATTTGAATGTACCTATACGATACCAAGGTTAAAAGTCATAATATTATCTAGACCGTATTTTAGGTAGGTATTTTAAAAGTAAAATATCAATATAAAAGCCTAGTACCTTACCTGTGTGTTACCTTAGATAAGATTATGTCGTACTTAAAATTGACAGTAGCCAATTAGGTATTTCACTTTAATATTAAAACTAACAACACAAAAATTGATTCTGGCTAAATTGCAAATATCATATTTTTACAATAATTTAGCTATATTATGCCTATATTATTCAGACTAATTTTAATTGTAATCTTAAATCCTCATCATAAGCAATAGTATCTACTAGTGTTATTTGATTTTAAGCCCGCTTGTATACATTATTTGGAAAAACTATATATATATTTTTTCAAACGGCTACATTTCCTATTAATTTCAACCTAAAATCAAATACTATTTTTATGTTTTATACTTTGATAATATGAGTTGAAATAAGAGCCAAAGAAGTGGAATGACAAATCTTTTGATGTACTAGGGAGTACTTAAATTTAAATTCTTACGAACAATAAACGTTAGTTTAATATTTGATATTTTAATATAATATTTTACATAATATTAGGCATACCTTATTCAGAAGACAATTTAAAAAGAACATTTTTTCTCGAAGTATAAAATTAAAAACATATGTATAGGTACTGTCTGAAGGAACTATTTTAAACGGAATTGCGTGTTTCTTTTATATTTATACTTAACATAAAAATTTATAAAATAATCATTGTTGTACTCTAGTCTGCAATTATATACATAAAAAAAAGTTATCAACTTTTGCATTCAATTGTTACACCGACTTATCCATAACTGAGTATTGTACATGAAAATTCTATAACGCTGATAACCAATAAAGCTGATAATATATAATAAATAGTACCTAATATAGGTAACAACTATCAAATATATATGACAGTGCAAAAGTTAAGCTTTTCGACTATATTATGCTTGAATAATATTATACTTGTAATAATATTTATGTTTATATGAAATTTTATTATTAGGTAAATATTGATTCTCTTTGTTATACTTACTAATTATATTAAATGGCAGCAGTTTATTTTAATGATGTTAATTTAGTAGGCACCGTCTGCCTGTCTCACATATCATTTATATAATTATGATTCATTATAATATTCTAAACAAACGCAATTCAATATGAGAATAAAGAAATATATTTAAATTGTTTCAATATAACTATATAAGTATACCTTATACAAATTAATTATGTATAATATATATAACGTATAACGTATATACCACTTGTAAAATGCGACTGTGTAATGAAGTGGAAATTTAATATTAAAACGATGTAAATGATGGAATTAATATAATTTAAATAAATATTTATTTATTAATAATTGTATCTACCCGAGAAAACAATAATAAGACAACTGTTATTTTTCAGAAAAACACATCTAATTATTGACTATAAATCGAGTAGATGTAAAAAACCAAATAATAAATAACATGGTTTTTACTGTTGGTCAACGACTATTGGTTTACCTGCCAGTATAATGTATTATATACACTATAGCGTAATATGACGTATATAATATGCTTGTCGAATAATACAAGTGGAAAATTACAATTATTATTACAGTGTAAAAGGAAAGACGACAACCAAGAATATCCGAAGTTAATATGACTAATATCATTTCCTTTTGTGTTTTTCGTCAGGTTTTGTGATATTTAATACATAGGAAGTACCTAATAATAATTCGAATGTGAGTGTACAGGATTTCACCAGTCCACGCAGAGTCAAGTGAGAAAATATACGTTACAAATGTCGAGTACCTAATTCCGTTTCGTTATTTTTTAGTATTGCCTTTTGATTTCCATCACACGGGGCTGATTTAGTAACGATACACAATAACATTATTATTGCTTCTATAAAAAATCACGATAATGTTTTGGAAAATTAGATCGCTTACGGTCTATTGATTCGCATCATCGATATCAGCATCGGAACCGAGCGTGAAGAGTTATTGGTTCGTATATTAATACAACTGTTCATCATAAACTCGTAACTACGGTCGAGGTTACCTATTTTACCGTATACACGTTATGATTGCTCATCAATAAATAATATATTCGTATGATATTATTATGCAATCGTAGCGTCTCGCCGTCTCGCCGTTGACGCCGTCATCTTTATCGCGCGCATGAGCGTGTCCGGGCGCATCCCTTCCACGCGGGAAAATAATCATTTCTGTGTACAGTATGTGTCACCTCAGCGATACCACACGATTCGTACCAGGGTCCCATCCTGCGTAGGGCTCGTTCCTTTTCGCATCGATCCACCAGACGATTACCTGTGAAAACCGCGAGGTCGTATTTTAAGTGACTCGAAATCGCGCCACATCCGGTATGCAATATATACATCTATGTGTTCAGTGTGTTGTAAGGTGCAGTTTACGACCCGCAGTGGAATTTTAATTTTTCTAATAATTCATTAGTAGTATAACTTCAAAGGCGATGACTTTACGACAAACCATCAACATTATAGATTATCTGATAGCGATAACTAATTATCCATCTATAATATATACGTATAATATACAAATTAATGTACGTCGTTTTTGGGGGTTTATAGACTTGGAAACTACTGAACCGACTTGCTACCGAATTCGGCACACAAATTGATAGACCCTCGAGGAGTGTTCATAACTTTGATTTTCAATCGCTAAATATAGGTTACCATATTATGGTTGCTCTGGCTCACACAAAAATTCGTTTATGCTCACTATAGTTGAATAATTTTTTTGTCTATTTATTATAGGGTTGCCAATGGTCACAGAAGTAAAAGAAACTTTTGTATAATCTAAATACATATAAATGAATGTATGTGATCTATACCACTATACCAGTATACCTTACCTACTAAATGACTACTTGACTGATTTTGACGTATGTTTCAAATTACAGTTCTTAGAGATATCAATAAAGTTTAGAGAGTAGTTTCGAAAATATATCAATTGCTAATTGCTATATCCGATTTATAGCAAAGGTAGATTGATCGCATCTCTGTTAAATCACAAAGGTATACACATTACACCGACGCCGATTTTCCGGTGAACTTAGGTACACTAAAACCGGTGCACTACACCTATATATAATATAGGGCCGCATTTTATATTTGTTCATTTTTTCACGAGGAAAATCTGGTTGTACAGCTAAGAATTTATAAACAAATACTGTTATCACCCGTGACGTCAAAGGTTCAAAAATAAAATATACAGCTGATTATAACCTATGGCTCGGAAGTTATTGAGTTTTTGCAATTTTGTGAAAACTGCAGCAAAGGAGGTTTTTCGAAAATATTCGTGTGAATATTGTCTGTATGTGGCAAGGGTAATATCAAACGAAAACTTTCGAGTTTTGATTAAGCATCTGTTTTGAATGAATATAATATGGTATCTCCCCGCTTCCCCTCTACTATGCTTACTGAATTGTTCGTATTCAACTCGGTCGATACATACCTACATTGCGCCTACCTAAGTAATAAGTATATTACCATGTATTCATTTCAAGTTTTCAACCACGAGATACACATGCGTGTGTCGTATTGTTTAAAGAAATAAAATGAAACACGGTTTTACAACCATCATTATCGTACATATTATATAGATATTAGATAATTTCTACGGTCTATGGTTTTATAGAACTGTATACCATATTACCACACGTATATATCTATGTAGGTACCGTATTATATATATTATAAATTATTAGGTACTATAACGTAGATTACATACATTATATGCATAAGTATTATATGTATATATTAATAATACGTCGTCTCGTGTTGTAGCAGCAACAGTCTTCTCATCAGTCGTACTCGCAGTCGGCATCGGCTTCGCATCTCCAACCGCAACCGCAACTCCAACAGCAACCGCAACCGCAGCAGTACATCAAACCGTGGACGTCCGCTGGATCGTCTTCGGCGTTTTTGGACCAACAGCCGTCGTACATGACCAACGCTCTGTTCTATCCGCCAAACGCGGTGCCAAACGCGGGCAACGACATGTACCTGCCGAGAATATCCACCGTCCCGCAGCAGCCCTACCCCGGACCGTACCCCATGATGAACGCCGGTCAAATGTACCAGCCGTACTATCAACCGTTCTACCCCACGCACCGGACCTCGGTAAGTTCACCGATGATAAAATCATTATAGGGTCGGTGGCATATAATATAACATGTTAGGGACCTGCTGCAGGAATGGAAAATTATTTTGACGCTACGTGCCAAAAATTACCTTTTTTTCGAAAGTGCCATTAAATAAATTATGAAAAGAGATGTACATAAACTAAGGTACATATTATGAGCATACAGCTATTTATCGGGACAATAACGATTATTCAATTTTATTTATAGATATTAATATACATGGTTATGTAATTTATTATTAAAATAAAAATAATATATCTACCTAATACGTATATCTATAATATAAATATTTTAATTTTTCACATACCATGAATTTCCCATATCTGTATAATATATTATGTGTTACATATTATATACAGAGTGACTATTTTACATCATGTACCACGAGATTGTAATATCTTAGAAAATAAGAAATATATACCTACGAGGAGTTTTAAAATGGTACCTATAGAAAAATAGAAAAATTTAGACTTATATTATTATCTATTATTGTTTTGTAATAGATTCTTAAGCAGTTACTTATATGATAATCAAATAAACTCTTTGAAGTAGGTATTTTCTAAGATATCATAGCCTATAATTCGCGACGAAAGAATCACTCTGTACACATAAACGACGAGTGAAACCAATAAGCCGATTAAGGGTTGGGAACATTTGCATATCACCTTCAGTTACATATACCCTCTACCAATCAGATCTCAATAAGACGACTATATTAATTAAATATTGGTAAGTTTTTATACAGCAATTAAGTCTGTAGTGCCTATAGATACTGCAGCAAGTACTGAAAAAACACAGATTCAAAAATTAATATTTATAGAAAACATGAGGAACATTATTTGGCTATATTAAAATGGTTAAAATTAATTATAAGTATTTATAAATTCGTAACCTGCAAATATTGAATCCTAAGTCTGACCATATGATGAGATCTGTAGTATGTCTGCAACGTACACTATACATTCGTATTTCGTCAACGGCCAATCTGAGTTAACATACCTACTCACTATTACTTTTTGCTTCTCAAAAAAATATACATTTACTCTTTTTATAGTTGGACTATAATATGATAAATATTTAATAATATATATTACTCATGGTAATTTATTATACGCCAAATCAAGTATAAACACTTTTTTTCCCTTCCGTTCATAATATACATTTCGTGGTAAACAATCTATGCAAAATCTAGTGCATATAGGTATAAGGTACGATTCTCCTTCGGTGAATTTTCCTGCATGTGCATTGGATGCAAATTTGAATCGTGGACCTGCAGGAAACCCATAAAGTAAACTGCTAATATTATACTTTTATCGATACGAAATAGAGTTTAATATTTGTATATTATAAATATACACACATTAAACTTGCGTTCCACCTTATGGTGTACCATTTCAGTCGTTCGCATTAACGAGATACGATATGGACAATTCGCTCCAGTTTTAATATACAGTAGATAAACAATTTTAAGTTAGTTACAGTTCAGTGACTTACCATTACCGTTTTACTAAGGAAACTCATTTTGTACTGAATTTACTTTTATATAATATGTATAGTTACCCATTAAATACGTATACCCAAGCGATATATTGCCATATATTTTAGTGACATTTCAAATAAGAAACTGAAAGTGTGCATACGATTATTACAGCAACGTATACGTTTTCAATAACTATGCATAGAAAGTTTAAAAATTAAATTGAACCTGATTTAATTTTTAACTTCTTAACACATATTGTGTGCACGATATATTATGCCTATATGTATACATTTATATTTATCTTCATTCTTTAATCTTGACCTGAAAATGGACTTAAATATTTAATACATTTTTAAATTTGTAATTGCCATAAATAAATCAATTACCCTATTAAATTATTACTAATGAGTGATAATATGCATATATATTGCATACCTACTAACGTTTTATAATATCTATTACCTTACCTTTAAGCTAAAAAGTTCTTAAGCTTTAGTGTTCATAACTTTAAGAATATTTTATCAACATATTACACTTGCGAATATATACTTTATATAATTCGATTATACGCGGTATACTATTTCAGTGGAATGGTTGAATTATATATGGAGAAAATATTCTTGTGTTTTTTGTTATAGTAAACATAATATTGGAATCTACTAAAGTATTTTTTTGAGTACCTAATAGTAGTGTCAATGTTTACTAAACCGAATAATATTATTCGGTAAAGCGTGCAATTCAAAATATAAAATATAAATTAAATAAAAACAATATTATAATTCGATAAACCATTATAGCCTTTATTATACTCGTATAGGTGTATAACAACTTTTCACTAGGTACTCCATTTTTTTTAAAATCCGATATATAGGTATAAATAAAGAATAGGCCATTTATTCAATATAGGTGAAAGATTGCCACTTTAATTTATCATTATTTTTGTAGTGTGGATTTTGACCTGTTTTCCATCGTCATACATTTACAATTCACTTATAAAATGGGTATATAAATAATAAAAGATCTCATACAAAAATGATATACAAATTGATCAGCGTGTTGCCCATTTAGGTACCGGTCATGCGTGTGATACAATAACAATCGCGTTATCCGAAAGGGTATAATGTGGATATTAAACTATAATAAATATAAGGATAAGCTGAACGAATCACACAATCACTGAGACAGCTATAGTAGAAAATACAATTATTTTTATACTATGAGCTATTTTTGTACGCTTCGTTTGGAGACAATTCGTCTTTGGGCGAATGACCTTTTTAGTTTTTAATGCGTGTATATACTCGACAAATGTATGACACTGAAACTCTTACTTATTGTCCTGTTCTGATATACGACCAGGTATATGTATATATGAAGATGTCTTCAAAAGTATGGGAATTAAATCACTTATTTGATCGCCAAACAAATAATGAGGATGATATTATATTTGACGTACAAGTCTGCAGCACTGCACCTGCGCATTCCGCTCTTTCAATTCGTGAATCTTAGCCCGAAAAGTGGTTCTACACACCTAACATTGTTTCATGTGATTTTTTTATGACTCCTCGATTAAATACTGCACTTTAAAGAAACAAATTTAAAGATATAAATTAAATCAATTATGAAAAGACAGAAGAACTCAAATTAATAACTATTGAATAAATTCAGAAGTGCTTTGAAAAATGGCAACACCGCTAATGTTGGAATCATTACGGCACTAGTGCACCTATACCTAAGGGCTAAGGCTAAAGGTCCAAGAAGCTAAAGTATCGAATCATTTCATTAGTATGTTAATTAATATTAATACAAAAAAAAAAATACACAAAGTCCTCATCGTTCTAAGACAATCTAACGGGTAAAGGTATAGATACAATATAAAGTTACTGGGGAAACGATAATTACTGTTTATTTGTTGGCTAACGATTTTGTAGCAGGACGTTTATTATAGGTGTGCCAAAAAAGTTAAGAAAGTAATGTATATCGCCGTAACAAAAATAAAGATATTTTTAGATCAGTTTGGTTAGGATTTTTCGTTTGCAAATTTCAAAAGCCAATCAATAAATTGCGTTTTAATGATTTCTATAAGAAATTATCACATTTAGATACCTATATATAATTAATCTATACTATTCATAAACATCAGACAGACCTTATAATATACGATATACCTACTATACCTTCATATGTAATTATATTATTTATCACTTCATTTTTTTACTATAATACGCGCGAAATGTATACATATAGGTGTAGGGTGTGCATGTGTGTGTCGTGTACAGTTAGTCCGTAAATCTTATACCAATCATAAGCATGTGCAAATTATAAGTCATCAACGACATCTGACAGGAAAATATAATAATCGAACAAATGGATTTGAATGCGATCAGTCACGGAAAACGAATGTTACAAAAAGGGCTATGGGGCTGAACAATAAAATTTTAGTATGTAAAACTATACTAACAAAAAATATCACCAACACAATGTACTATATAGTTAGTTCGAAATACAAAACGTCCGTCAAATTTGTTTTTTACAAACTGTATTTACTTGATCTAATACAGGTATTATTATACATGCATGTTATATATAAGTATATATGAGTACAAAACAACGGTATAAATAACTGCGTCGGCAAACGAAAAACGTTAAAATATCAGAGATCTCGCGGGTTCCGTAAACATATTATAATAATGTTACTCACAAATTATAATATAATTTAATATCATGTGTTGAGGTGTAAAGGTATTTCAGGTGTACAATAGAAACGGATAACCGATCCTTGTTCGTATCGCTTAAAGATATCTATAGTATATATAGTATAAATGTATAATATATTGATAATAGTATTTTCCCTGATATGTTTTATCCCTTAATCATATAGGTACGTGTATAAATGTATAATTGCCCATACGAATATACATGTAGTATGTACACAATAATAAATCGTATAAATCGTGACCGTATAGCGTGAAATACAGTAAGACATAGTATATTAGTATGTGTGTGTAATGTGTATATAGTATATATACTATATTATAATACATATAAATATACAATATACAATATATAATATATATATGTATAATATACAATATGCGATGCTACAGCTTTGAGCTCGGCGGACCTTATAACAATATTGGCATACACATTACGCACACACGCGCGCGCGCTGCCAGCACAAATTCTACCGTTATTATATACATATAAGATCATATATAGCCATATAGGCATCGATATAGGTACATAAAATAGATTTATGCCATGTACACGTTTAAGTAATATAATATACAAACTATAGTACAAAGGGGCGAGCTTATACTTTTGTAGTATACTACATAGAGTCATAGGCGGATATTTGGTCACATCCGTGGGGGGCTTAACATTTTTGTCTTATCCATTAGCGTAAATATACATTTTTTAAACGCTTCAACCTACTAACTAGTGGCTACTCAATACTCCTACTTTATTATAGCAGAGGCACCTAGTTTATATAGGTATATTAAAATACACAATTTATTTTGACATCTAGTGTGGTTTGTTACTTTCAGGGGAGCTTAAGCCCCCCAAGTCCCCCCCCAAAAATCCACCTATGCATAGAGTATATTTTTATGACGCCGTATGATCGTATCTATATAATATATACTATATAGATACAGGTGTTATATCTGCACAATATATTTAAGATTAAGTCCTTATTCCGAGAATTTTTAGCTGTAAATTTTCCCTGTGCTCATTTATAATTTACCTGTGATAAATACCAGTCAGCAATCCCCCCTTTTCCCTAATTTAGCTAAGGCAGTAATTTTCTAAAATTTTATTTAAAAATAAAATATCAACGGGGATAAACACCACGGCGAGACCACTGGGAGAACAAGGGAGTTCGATATTGGGTTGAAAATAGAGACGGTTTTAAGAGGACGCTACACCCTCATGTGTTGTGTCCGTCGGATGTAAAACATTGCAAAAACTGTTTTGTGCCGGTAAGAACCACTCAGGCTGTAATCCAAGCTATAAGCAAACAAATGTTCACACTGTAAGTCTTACCTAATGATTATTTGCGTTAGTTTATGAATATACCTACATATATTTATCTAAAAATGTAATTTAAAAAGTTTAAAAACATAATATATGTGTATAATGGAAAATTGTTGCCCCCCCCCCGTTAAAAAAAATTTTCTCGGATGGCCTTGACCGAGAGGTTCGTAATATAATATAGGCACAGGTATATACGTATTTCATATAAGCACTATATAATATTAATATATATTGCGCTCTGTGCCACTGTATACGGTCGTCTCTCTTAACACCGTTGTCCACTCATTATACCCATGCATAATGAAACGATAATAGTTCAATATATTATAACACAAGCGCACATTTACCGGATTGCGGTTGAATAATTGCCGGCTAAACAATAAAAATAAAATTACGACTGGAAACGTGACTGGGAACATTGCTCGCGCGTTTCAATATATACCTACCTATAAGTACCTATATATACCTACATGGCTATATTTCTACCCATACGTTGTCGCACGACGACAAAAAACAAACCAAGTCTCCCATATTACACACACTATCCGCACACGACTCGAGCAGTATGAGATGCAAAACACGGCCAGTCCTCCGCAAACAATAATATATACAAGACGGACACTGCATGTAGACATAATATTCAATAGACAGCCATACGGTAAATTATCATTATTGTTATTATTATGAAATGGTTACGGGCTAAACATGATATTATTATACGTAGGTACTAAAGATATATTATATAAGACACGGCGTAGTAGGTTAATAAGTTTACGGTGATATCGTATGTGCACCTTTATATTATTATTATTAAATTTATTATTATACATGTAATAATGGTACATCGGTAGGCACTTATATATTATGCGCTTGGAATGTTATGAACGTAATTCTAATGTAGGTAACTTCATCCGGGTGGGACACTCAACTTTATAAGAACTGGTTCTAGAAAAAGCGGCAAATCATAACAAATAAACTTCAGTTTCGATCTAGGTCGAGTATATACCTACATAAGTACCTAAACTTTACCTATGATTTACTCACATAACACGCCTACACATATAGTAGGTATATACAGAGTTACTTCTTAAGCATACTCACCCCATTTGTATGTTTAAATTATATGCATATATTCAATTTCTGAATTTTTGGAATTTTTAACTATAATTTATAACGATATTTTCGAATACTTGGATTTTTCACAACATTTACGGAGTATCATAAAGCGATACCAGCATTGGTTTTTCAAATAAGAACCTACGTGTTTTAATGAAAAATTTAGAATCACATGATTTTTCTGAACATTTTAACTTATGTAGGTATTTGTAATCGAATTTGAACGAAAAGTTGTTGAGTTATTCTACTTTAAAAAACTAAGGATAATAGTCAATTAAATACTTATTGTAAATGGATATAAGCTCTGTAATTATATATATTATAATTATTAAGCATGCAATACAAAATATTTATTAATAATTACTGCTTATATTAGTATATACTCAGACAACTTTTTAATACTACAATATACTTATGAATTAATATTACACCCAAATGATATAATTTTCAAAACGAAAGTTAAATTTTAGTAAATTATTATCTTTAGTTTTAGTATTTAAATTAGAAATAGTAGAATACCTAAACCTAACTCAGAAACTTTTCGATTACGATTTAAGTACGTCAATATTTTCAGAAAAATCATCTTATTCGCAATTTACATTATTACGGAGAATAACACTGCAGCTAGGATACTCCTCAAATATTGTTATAAATCTAAATATTCAAAAATAGATACTGTATTTTAAAATTCCAAAAAATCGGAAATTTAAACATATTAATAGTGTGAAGCAGCATAGCATAGGAGATAGTTGCAACAAGGCTTAACACAACTTATGATTGTGCGTTTGTGCAAAAGACTTGGTCACATTTTGATCCGACAAACAGCTCGGTTCTGTATGGTATTGACTATTGGGTCAATAATGGGCCCAGATGAAACGCGTGACGGAGGCGACAAAGACGAAGACCGGTAGGTCACACATAATCGATGTAGTCTCCGTACAGATAATGATAAACGCTGTCGACTTATACGTTGAATAATGTAATAATAACGTGACGAAACCTAAATAATTCGGCGAAGGTCTAGTCATCACGTTTTTCCGGATCCTGTGGGAACGGTCGCATTCCTTTTACAATAATGACACCACACAGGCACACAGCAGCCTCCGAAAATTCGACGTACCTAAACAGTAAACATACAGCGATAATGTTTTGAGGTTAATAAGGATAATTTGAAATATGGTAACCACCGTCCACCAAAACGGTGTACCCAAGTGTCTTCGTTTAAAACGACTAGGTAGTGACTGATCTGAGTATAGGTGCAACGTAGTAATTTTCTAGGGGCGAAAATGATTTAGAATTTAGATGGTAATAGCGAGAATGTGATAATTAAACCAGGCCTGATATCCATCTAATATGTACATTTATGTGAGTATATAGGTTAGGTATTATCGATCGAATAAGATCGATCATCGATCTATAAAACGAAATTCTAGTACATATAGCTGGTATTTAAATTAACGCACTATAAGATAATCTCTCCCGAATAACGTATTGGTACACAGCGGTCAGCGATCCACCCGAGTGGTCTTTAAACCGTCTATATATAGCACACCTTAAATACTTCCTACCAAAATTAACTAGATGATTTGGCGTTTTCAGAGAGTTGGAGGTTTTGACGTCCGCAACCAGATGGACACGATGGCTGCCAAAATGACCGGAAAGATCCGAAACGTCACGTGCGTCATGCAGGAACTTGGTTACGTAAGTGTCTATTAATCTATTGCCACGGATATTCATTTTTTTTTATCATTATTTTAAGGCGAACAAGCGTCATTGCGTCAATACCTACCAAACATAAGAAAATAATAGGAATATTTTAATTTTAGATTCTGAGCGGAGCGAGGAAGCTAGTGGTTTTAGTGTTTTTTTTTTTTTTATCCGATACACAAAATTTCTACCAGGGATGCTTCGATTTCAACATAATATATACAGGGGCGTCATTTCAACTTTTTTTTTGTTGGTGCCAAAAAGTTTGTAGGCCATTCAAATCATTACCAGGCCACATATTTTATTTTTATTTTTGAGGGGGAAAGGGGTCAAGTAGGGACAAAAACTGTAGAATATTTGAGCGTATGTAATTTGCTCCAAAAACAACCAAAAAAAAAAAACAAATATGCAATTTGCGCCACATCTAAAATTGTATTTTGGTAATTTGCGCTACTTTTTAAGTTTGTAATTTGCGCCAAATGAAACTAAATAAAAAGGCAATATGTAATCTGCGCCATCGTTTACCTACAAAAATTGTAATTTGCGCCATAGTTCACCTTATTGAAATTGTAATTAGCGCCACAAGTAAAACGAACTCCATGTATATTAAATACCTAAGTAAATTTTCGTTTAGTAATAAAACATATAAAAATCAGTCATATTATAATTATAAATAAAAGTATTCAAGTAAAACGAATTCCATGTATATTAAATAAGTAAATTTTCGTTTAGTAATACAATTTTTGTAATATAACACATAATTTTTGAAATAAAATACCTAGCTTACTCACGTTTTTTATATTTATAGCTTGATGATGAAACAAAGCATTTTCTGTCAATTTTATTTTGTCTGTAGTCTTCATATATTTGTTGAAAAGTTTCCAAACGAATTTTATTTTTAGTAGGATTTCGTTTTTTAAGATGTATAATTTTAATTTTAATCAAAGTTTAGGTTTGAAATCTTTTCAGTATGTCCAAAAAGTAATCGGAGATCAATTACGTCTAATTACGTCTCTATTATCAGTAGAACACAACAATATTATATTGGACACACATCGTTACGTATTATTGTATATCCTATGCGATATCAGTAAATATATCTGCCGGTAAATTCCAACAATATTGAAGTTGAAAGTGTGGTGCAAGGTACATAGGTATTCCATTTCGTTTTCTGTCGTGGCGCAAATTATCAAAATTAATTTGTATATGTGGCGCAAAATACATATTATATTTTATATTTTGGTGCAAATTACATACGCCCTTAAATGTACCTTTTGATGGCGCAAATTACAGGTTATTAAATTGGCGCAAAATACCATCTCCCGAATATTTGTATACTTTATTTAATATGTCACTTATATTAGTATGAAAATATCTCAATATTGTTTCTATTTTTGACGAACTATGTGTAAGTATACTCTTAATGTATTTATTTTATATTGTGAATATCAGTGTACAGTGGTATTTGCATTTGGTAAATAAATGTATTGGTATATAACACTTTATAGTAAAATACCTAACTGAACCTAACCTACACATTTTTTCTTTCTGCATACTCAAAATATATAGTAGTAGCTAGTTAGCTTAATAAAACCAGAAATTTATTTTATGGGTACCTTTCTTCACAAAATTTGTGTCATAATTTTATCAATTATAATTTTGTGGGACCACAAAACCACATCAAACATTCTTGGAAATTATTAGTGCAAACAATTTTTTTTAATACTGAAAAAAAATATAAAATTAAAACACATAGGTATATCAGCGCTTATATTTATTAATGGCAGGCCAAAGAAGGAGTTTTAAAAAAAGTTGGTGCAAATGTACACCCTGCACCCCCCCAAATGACGCCCCTGAATATATAGTACCTTATATTTTAGAAAATTGGATCAAGATTGTACTTTAGAGAGGTCATTTTTCGATTTTCTCAATAGTTATTTAATGGGACGGGAAAAACTACCTACAAATTACGAAAAACCGCTAAAAATGGGATTTTCATTTCTAACGCCTTGTGTATCACCATAGCAACGAATAAAAAATAATAATATTATAATACTAGCTGATCCCGTGCACTTCGTTTCCCGTTAAATGTATGCCAACCCTTTATGATTCAAACTCTGTTCAATTCGTTATTTAATATTCGGTGTATGGTGTTCAAAATTTATATCCAGACTGACAAATCGTCTTCGCTCTGAATCGTTTTTCTTATATAATGAATAATGATATTATATCATTGAATTCAAGTTTAATACAATCCATTATACATTGACCCACTTGTAACCTACTGTACAGCAAAGCGACATCCGCTTACCCGATTTTTTTTTTTTGTTCTTAAAATAAAAAACAAACAGAATAGAATAAAATTTCTTATATTTTCTAAGATAACTCTCGGTTTAAATATGATGTTTTTTACACAGCTCAACCAAAACATGGAACCAGACTACGAAAACATGAACGACAGAGTGATGAGGCTACCGATCGCCGAAGAACTTAAACAAGACATGGTCGACGGCATTACGTATTGCAAGAAGTTTTCGGTAATAAGCTCTTCGTGCAACGATTATACATTTCTATAATTCTATGTATATAAGACATAGCTGGTTATGCTTATGTTAAACTGCTTCGAATATATTTCGAAGTTATTCAACTTTAATTGGAAAACGTTTATTCATTATTTTCCAGTTAGGGAGTGTAAACTTAGTTTTACTTGTTCTTCCATTTCATACAATGATATATTCAATAATTTACAGTCATACCTAGGTATATACTGATATTAAAACGTTACTATAGAATAATGAGACACTCGATGTGTTCTAAACAGTTTTTCAACTAGACATAAATATTTTATATTCAATTATAATACAGGCATAGGTACGTCATATTTAGGTATTCATTTTTAAAAGTCAATATTTTAAACTTTTTAAGATTTTATATTCTTTTACTTGAATTGAATATCGTACTCGATATCGTATCCACTATTTCTCTTTTTAGTAAATATCAAACGTTTCATAATCATATTTGTTATGTCAACAGATGTGCGTACCGGACGAGAGGAAAGATAAGTTCGCCAAAGAGTTAGTGCGGCCGATGTTCTTTTTCAAATGCTATAAAGTACGTAAATGGTCCTACACAAATAATATTGTATAATTGTATATTAGACTGAATAATATACATCCAACGCAATATTAATACTGATTATAATACATTTTTTTAACTCAATAATACAATATTATGTTCGATAATATAGCATAAAAAGTTGGAGTCGTGTATAATGAAGGATATCAGAGACCGTTACACTGCAGAAGAATTCGGCGAAGATAACATGACGGCCGAACGATCGATGAGAAGCTCACAGTACTTGGAAGACGATACTATTGAACAGACGGTGTTCGATTACATTTACGGTGACAAGTCCATAGACTTAGACGTTTTGCTGTGAGCCGATACGCAAGTGTTTATCAACAACTAGAAATGCTCAACTGCACGTCTGTCTCACAAAAAAAATCTGTCATCCGCGTCCTAGAAAGTCAAATTATATAAGTTAAAAAGTATAATTTTTTTTTTCCATTACGTTTCCTTAAGATATAGCCTGTAAGAGATTAATTTATTATTGTGTACGTTGGTCCTGGTTTTAAAACGCTACTAAAGATAATTAATGTAAAACCAGCAGTGGCGTTTCGAAATCAGAACGAACTCTCGATCAGAATATTATTTATGTATTTATTTTAATTTGTCAAGCTTATTATAATTTATTTATAATGAATAATAGTTTAATGTAAAAATATATTATAACATATTATTATACCTAGATTATGTAAATTTTAATTTTAATTTATTTTTCATATTGCTCCCTTTTTACAAACATTTTCACAGTATCAAATATTTGATATCAGTTGGATTTGTTGGATTTAAAAGGAAATTATTAAGCAGATATAATATACATATTATTATACATTAATCAATAAATTATAAACTGTAAATAATAATAGTAATAAAAATAATTTTATTTAACAAGTATAAAAGAACAATTTTTTTCACATAATAATAATTATTATTATTATTGTATTATTGTTATGTTTAGTTAATAATTAATTTTTTTAACTTGTATAATTTAAACAATATTTTGGTGTTCAATTATCTCCGTATAACATATTACATTGATAGTACAATAAATAAATAGCGCAGAATAAAAATGATTGTCATACAAAATGATTAAACTTGTAAATATGATTATAACCATGCGCAATTGGACAAGTCGAAAAATAAAATAAAAGTATAGTAAAAATAATAGTAATAATTATAGTAATGGGGGGAATGGAGAGGATGGATTAGTTATGCGATGAAAGTTGAAAAGTTGAGTAAAATCCTGCTTTAATTTTATGACAACAACTATATATGAATAACCTAAAATTCATTAACATTACATGTCGTGTTAGATATTTCCCTAAATGAAAACCGTAATAATAAACACGTTTTGATTGTAAGATTATATTCATTTGACTAAATAATGTCCGAGTAATTATTTTCACTATCTTTGCGGCTGAACAGTCTCATGCGACCAGAATGTTGTGTGGCGCTACTGATCACGCCCATCCATCTGAAACAAACAATAACAATTAGTTATTTAGATTATTTTAATCAATTAACAGTTCAATGTCGATCAAACAATACTATCACGGAGAAAATTGCTCACTAGTCACTACAAAATGTGATTTTAAACGACGAAAGGACACCCACGTGGCCACGTAAAAATAAACGTAATTAGGTACCGATTTTCTAAGCTAACGATTAAAACAGTATAGGCAGATAATCGAAAATGCAATTACACATAGGAATCGGAACACAATTATGGCAAAGACCACAACGTTTTACCTGAATAATGGAGTTTATAACCATTAAGAGTTAAATCACAGTTTTCAATCAAATGACCACGAAACATTAGATAAAAAGTTAAATGTACATGAAAGTGACTGCCATCAATCATCATCACGAGAAAACAAACACCAGATCGGTAGTCGGTACCCACAACAATACAATTTGAACGCAAACGAATATGTTTGAGGGTTTTTTCAGTTTTCCACTGACATTTTAGATTTATTTTGTGGTCATGACGAATGATAGTTTTCAGTAAGTATTATAATAATTATTCAACTAACGTAAAATATTTGAACAAATCTAGCTACCTTCGTGTTGTATGGATGATTGAAAAAAATTATTATTATATATCAATGGAGACATAACACGTATAACGATGACCACGTTTTATTGTATTCACAATAAGGCTGTATCTGAGGAGGGTTCAGAGGATCTGGATCTTCAATATCTTATTTTTAACCAAATATCAAAACTTAAATTCAATAAAATTACAATATACATGTTTTGGACCCCCCCCCCCACACCAGCCTTGGTTCACAATGTCATAATGTCCTCCGTAGGAGTGTTTATTTTTCACTCAAACAATAACTGAATAACAAATACACTTGTTAGGGCCAATCAAATACACAGAAATCTAAAAGTGAATAGATCTTCCAATAATATATTAAGTGAAACTTGTAGGTATTACTATACCTAATAATTAATATTATGTATATTGTATATTAATATTTATAATAATTAATATTATGTATATTGTATATTAATATTTATAATAATTAATATTATGTATATTGTATATTAATATTTATAATAATTAATATTATGTATATTGTATATTAATATTTATAATAATCTTATTGTGTAGGAGCCCGTTGTGTACGATCCAAATATTAATGACTAAGTATATAATTATCCTTATCCTTTAGATATGTTGAAATATTTGTTAAATATTAAATTTTTTATAGCTAATATTATCGTTAAAACCAAATAAAAAATTAACCATCCACATTACACACATATTTTATCAACAATGTTTTAATTAATAACGTAACAATGTATCTATAAAATAAATAATTGTTAATTATTCAGAACATGAAAAAAATGTATTTTGTACTTTGGTTATCATTGTCTAGTAATCCAATAATGTTAATTATGACTATGACATCTGTTAACTATATTATGCTATAGAACACTATTATTTCATAAAATCATTTTTCTTTTAAAGTCAATACATCGATATTGGAAAATCAATATTTAATTCGATAAATCGACAACGAAGGTATAAAAAATCCCATTCCCAATAATAATAATTTCATGTGTCAGTGTATCACTCACCTGCCAAACGTGTATTCGCTTTCGGCTCTGAAAAAGTAGACGTGATTCTTGAATTGCAACTTGAAAACAAAGTCTTTTTCGATGGAATCCTCTTCGTTGGGTTTTGAAACGCTGTAACCGAGCAGAGGCAGACTGGCCAACGGCAAGTCATCTTGGAACGACTTGTAGAAGAACAGGCAGAAATTGGTGAACACGACCCATAGCTTTTGCCAGCCGTTGCTGTTTTTGAACTTGCGCAACAGAAAACCGCTTAATTGGTTCTGTAGGGCAAACGCAATGATGGTTAGAAAGTTAAAAAAATATAATATATTTAAGGATTATTAAAGTTACTGTCAAATTCGAAACAGTCTAATACATATAAATACAACGGCATGAACAATAATATTATTTGTCAGTACTCACCTCGGTGGCCCTTAGATGGTCAGCCATGCCAATGCTAGTGTTCCTATGCCAGCAAACGTGAACGGTTGTGTTGTTCCTTTGCGCGGCGCCTGGCGCTTTGCCACCGTTGATTTCTGACAGCGCGCCGTTGCAGTCACCGTTGTTGCTCATCATGTCATCTGAGGAACCTAAGCACAGTTATCGGATTGGAAATTCAAATAAATTCCTGTTAATGTAAAGGAACAGCGAACACGAAACATAACGGGTGGAGGTAAAAAAGGTTGGTTTCACAGTGATAATTTTATCAACCTTTCAAGTATATACAGTTATTCTTTATTGAATTACAACAAAATAATGAAATCGATTTTGTCAAAAACTGAGTTTGCTTAAAAATTCCAGTTTTTTTCATAATCTTTTTTTTGTTTATCCAAATGATTTAGAAAAATAATGGGATTTTTTTACTTTTGATCTCCCAAAGTAGCAACTAGATTCACTTTAATATCAGAAAAGATTTTTAAGTTAAAAATCAAAGCATTTTTCTACTGTAAAAAGTGTCTCCAGACACAAAAAAAACACATGTAGTAAAATACATTCATTGCTCTACTTAAAATCTAAAAGGTGTTTAAATCTATAATTAGATCGTTCATATAATTCAGGTCTACTATAATGCCGATTGTCGAAGATTTGTATTTAAAATATGCAGATATTTACAAAATACACAATATTTCAATTTGGCTAAATTAATAATAATGTAATGTGTTATTGAAAACCATGATTATCTTACTGCATGATTTCAAACTCAAATAAATATTTGGTGGCTCGATGTTTGCTCGTTCTCCTTTGTACGCTTGAACGCTTTCTGCGATGTCTTCCATCCATTTATCTTTTTCCTCCTGACTGTTCGCCGCAATTGTGATTACCCTGGAAAAAAAAATAGCATATTATTAACATTGAATCAATTGTTTGAAGACCACAATCAAGCCAAATGCACACGTCATGTACTATTAACGTACTAAAAGAAAAACGTAGTCAGCGACTAATTTTTGCAATAATTTCCTCATACCTGTTATTTGAATAGATTGAAAAAGAATATTGTGTTGGGTTGTCGGTTCGTTCTTCAACAAAGAGGTCGTTGAGGGGTATCTGGCCATGAACGCGAAACATGTGGCCAACCCTTGCCGTGTATAACAACATATCAGACATCTATATTGGCATGCACAAAAGCGCAACACTAATGTTAAGCTGAACACATATTTCTTTAAAGCTATAAGTTAAATAAAAGCTTGATTGAAACTGTGCGGCAGCATCAATGAATGGAAAGGGAGTGGTCACCGTGACACATTAAGGTTTAACTAATAACAGTATTTTATCTTTTTACTTTTAGAATCCAAACTATGGTTAAACAAGAGGAAAAATAAATAATATTTCCATTCAACCAAACAAAAAATCACAAATATTTTTTTTTCCAACAGAAGAATATTATATCCTAATGTACTCATCGATTCATTAATCTTCTTTTGTCTTTAAAATGTTTATTATTTGTAATTTAAAATTAAAATAGTTATTAAATTATTGAACAATATTTATCGTATCTATAAAATTATTTAAATCTAATGTGCATTAAAAATTTGATCACTATTAATTTTAATTCATTTATAATGATCAAATATTGTAAAGTCATAAATCACTACAATTATTACAATAATTTATAAGGAACTATTCACCAGCTGCAAGATTTTATTTAGAATTTGTTGCATATGTATCAGAAATATTTGTATGATAGATAAGTTTAGGTTAATTACAACCAAATACTTACTAGATTCATTAGGCATTACCATAATATCCCACCTATAGATATACTATGAATTATTTTTAATTTAATTTAATAATTTTAGCGTTTAATTTAAAACAAAATAAATATAATTTGTTGCCATCAATTTAAAACTACTTTGATTTTGAGAATAACAGTAAAATGTCCATATAACAACTGAACTTCCATTTAATGATATATTTATTAAAACCATAACCTAATTTGAACTAAACTTGTAATTCCTAATTGACATATTTTTTATTATTATTATTACCCATGAGAGTGCATTATGGAAATTAAAATGCAGTTTCCAATTTAAATTGTTATCAACATTGTTTAACAAATAGTAGTATACCTACCATATCTTAGGCAAATAAAATATTACTTAATAAAATTATTGGAAGTTGTTTTACCATCTATTATTAATTGTAAGCCTTTTAAATATTTTCTACAAGAAGTATAATATTATATATGTATATAATAAATATAAATAAAATGTTATGTATTTAAATAATAATATTATACATATCATGTATGTTGTTAGTTCTAGAAGTTAATTTGAGTACATGCCAAAAATGTCAATGAATAGGAGTACATGTTAATATGTTATGATTTATGAATTGTGATATTTAAATTTTAAGGTAATTTGTATTATTCAAAGATCTTAAAATTCTATCATTCTCTTTTATTATAAACCATTAAGCACTTCCCCAAATGTTATCATTAACAAAATATTTAAAATTACATTTAGTGTTTTTAAATTTCAAGAGGTTAGACTAAAGTTGAGTATAAACAATGATTTTGAAACAACCATAAACAAAAATTGTTATTTGTTATCACAAAATAATAGCAATGAAACAAAGTAAAAAAAAAAAAACAAAAGAAATTTCTGAGAATAATCTAATAAAAATATCAGATTATTAATCAAACAAACAAAGCGGTTAAGATATTTCTAACTCAACATCTATATATCAATATTTCATATTCATAATTTTCAGCATTTTCAAGCATATACATCAACATATATTACAATTTATAATCGAGCACACAAAAAAATAACATTAAACTGTCCATTAATTGAATACTCTACAATTACTAATACTTTAATAACAATGTTAATTAACACCCATATGAGTTGTTTTTAGTCTTTTAAATATTAGCAACAAAAATTAAGTTGAATTTATACAATTGTGTATAATTTGTAACTTTTGCTTATCATTACAGACTTTTTATAGGAACATGGGGTTTTAAAATTAAAATTTTAACAATGGAAATAAATTTAAAATGATATGTATATTATATTGTTGAAACAACATTACAATATATTTTGTTTTTGTTTTAAGATTGCTGGCCCTCCATAATTTGAATATTATGTATGGATAGCGTGCCGCACAGATAGGGCTGCTAAAAATAAACAAATAAGATAATGTTAAAACATGCTTCAACTTGCCAGAAAAAACATGCGCTGTTGGTAACCTTTTCTCTGTGAAAATTTGGTTAGACACCCTTGCCGTACAAACTCTCGACCAGTAACATGAAGAGTGTCAATACCAACCATATCTCTCTCCAACTCACAAAGCTGTACAAAGTTCTCCTATGACAAAAAAAATTTCAAAAAAATTATAACAAGTCAGAAATAAAATATAATTATTAATTACCGATCTACGAAGTGCACTTGGTAATCTCTTTGTTACTTTCAATAGTTTTACTCTCGCTTCCAAACAGTTGTTGTAATCAATATGTGAAGAGCCATAGTGTCTTATTAATTCTAAAAAATATAGATGTTAGTCAATTATGAACATATAACTATCAAAATTACATACTTTCTAGTAAATGAGAATAATGGAGTAATCTTTGAAGTGGTTTCAATACAAATGAAGACAATGGCAAATAGCACACTTTTTCTACTTCAAAATCTTTATAAAATGCTTCAAATTTCTTATTAGTACGATATGCATGATCAATTTTTTCTAAGACATTTAAGTGTTCATCTAAGTAATTATCATACAACTAAAAATAATAAAATAAACATACATTAATTTTATTTTAATAAGCAAAACTATGTTTTTAAATAATTATACACACCTCCAAATTATTAAAATGGTGTAACAAAACATCTGCTATACATGGAGGGTCCCAACTATTTAATCTCATTTCCACATCTTTCAAAAATAAAGAATGAGCATCATAAATTGGATCAATTAAATTTAAAAGCATGTTTACAGATTCTATCTGACCCATTTCATCATCTTCTTTGCTCATTTCATCACGCAACCACTAATAATAAAATATAAATAATTAAAAAATTGGTTTTAACTTCATAAATATTAATTTTACTTACAAAGTTAATGACTTCTAAGTCTTTTCTATAAGTCCGCTCTGTCATCAATATTTCTTTAGTTATAAAATATGCTCTATCGGTGGGCCTCTAAAGTTAAAAAGAAGGAGCATAATCATAACATTATACAACACAATTTTACTTTCTATTTAATATTTATACATGTACCAATTAATTTGTATAATTTATAAGGGCCGATTTCACCAACACAGTTAATCACGATTAAACTTCGATTACGCTTAATCGGCTGATAACAGATATTTAACTGGCGCCAAATTCGGCCGATTAAACTCCGGTTAACTTAAACCGTGATTAACAGTGTTGGTGAAATCAGCCCTAAGATAGTTAATAATAACACTCACTTTGCGTTTTGTATCAGTAATTTCAAGATTTTTCAATGAAGTTTTATCCTTGGCAGTATTTATTGTGCTAAGGTTGTTATAATGATCGTTGCTGAAAAAAGAAGTGCATTATAAATTGTATTTGATTGTTCAGTAAAAGAAAATACTGCCTATTAAATTTTTACCTTATATTTCCTAACGATCCATTTGTTACTAGATTTTTCGGAGTGGAAGATGTCATTGGCATTACACCATTTTCTTTAACAGACATTGACGACAAACACGATGTTGATCCATTGATTTTCTTAAACGGTGAATCTACTTCTTCAGGAGTATCACCTTAAATTAAAAAAGTTTATTAATAAAAGCATTTTATACAAAATATACCATGCAATGTACAATTCACAAGTGGAGTAACAAAACAAATTATATATAATGCTTTTATAACCATTTATGTGTGCAATTCGATAAAATTAAAATAGGGATAGGTTTGTGACTGCAAATAAAAACATGTAATAATTATAATTGAACCAAAGTACAAATATATACTTAAATGTATATTTATTTGTGTTGCAAAATAATAATATAATATATGAAAAACAAAAATAATAATAATAAATGAGAAGCAAATTTTATGATATGTAATTGAATGTTGATACACAAATAGGGTTCAACATAAAACGTACAACTATTTATATATATTCAAAACTCACTTAACTCCATTGGGTAAACCCGGATATGCATAACACGAATGATTTAAAGTGACATACATTAAAAAAAAATGTGCATTATATGGAAGTTATTAAAAATTATTAAATCATAGTTAACTTTTTATTTATTGACTTTTTATTAATTATTATATCTTTATAGTCGTTTGTATGTACATAGTAAAATGATATCTAGATATAATTATAATAAATTATTTATAAACAATTTACAAAAACAAATAATCTAACACCTAGTTGATTAATTTAAAAAAAATAACAAAGTATAAATTATTGAAACGCAGTTTCACATTTAGGTAATACGAAAATGTTCTTGAAATCTAGCAATATATATATATATATATATATATATATATATATAATATGTAGTATTATGTATAAAAAAAACAAGGAATAGAAAACAATACAATAAAACCACAACAAAATATGAAATCTTTTAATAATTATTAATTAGTTGTAAGTAAATGAAATTAAATAATTACAAATAATATTGAGAATGATGTATAACGGCAGATATATAGTCAACAGGATAAAAGAGAATTAACGAATATTTGAGTTTTGAAAACTAATATTCTATAACAAATTTCATTTCAAAAACAAAACTATGCTTAATAAATATATTATACTAAAGGAAGACAGTTTGAAATTTGATATAATATTAAAGAATTAGTATTTAAATTTGCAATTTGAAAATTAAAAGAGTACATTATAATTTATAACTATTTAGACCATATTTGAGTCCATGAGAATTGGAGTAATATTTTGAATTCATTTATTTCTCTTTTATAATTTGGTACAGTGACATTATATTAATCTTGCCATGTCTTTAACTTTCATTTATATTATATACACTGGAAACCAGTCGCAACAAGTAATGTGTCATAATAATATTGAATATCAGTCTATTATAATATTATATTAATTATTTATAAATATTAGTATTTTTAATATATTATCATTTGAAATAGTATGGTTTAACAAAATAATAATGTATAATCACTGATAAGGTGGCATATTCAGTTTTCAGTATTAAATTTTACATTATACTCAACCAAGATGAAACATTTATATTATGAATATAATAGGTCATTCTAATGAAGAAATAACTTAAATTATTATTTCAAATACAAAATATTTGAGCACCAAATAAAATTTAAATTTTCAATAGAATATTAAATTGATTTTTTAAAGTATGTTTGAAGTACTTTTAACTAGTATTTATCATCAAAATACAGTTCGATCACATTTGCCACCCATTTAAATTAAATACGATTACACTCATTATTTGTTGTTTTTTAATTCAACCAAGTACAATAATTTACTATTGTATACAAGTTACAAAAATGTCATCATAAATATAATATTATATAGTTGTTTTATGATATAATATTATGTTGTTCACTTAGAATTAATAATAACAATTTAACAGAACAAAACTATTATTTAAATATTATAAAATAAAACAAAACCCGAAGATTACATATTATGTATAACATTATTATCACAACCCACAAAAGAAAATATATATGTTTTATAAAATCATAATTCATAAATATTAATATTAAAGAAAAATTACTAATACTAATATTACCATGTGAAATACTAAGAAAATTATCTAGTAATGTCTTTGTTATCCTTAACTTTCTTAACACAATAATATTTGTGAATCTACACCCTATATGCCATTATTAATTATTATAAAATTGGTTCAAATAAGTGTAATTTAATGGAAGTTTAGATATTTATAATCAATATTGATTTATATTGAAAAAGTAAATCTATACTTTTGTAATTTGTATCACTTTAGGTTTTCTCTTTAAAGTATGTGTGTAACGTCTTCTTTTGGAAGCCCTAGGTATTGTATTTGGCACATTGGGCGGCTCTTGAGCCTCAAGTGAAGATGATGAAGCGTCACTAGGAGGACTGCGAGTCAATGAGAAATAAGAATGGCAACGAGCTCTAGTAGCTAATGTCTTTGGTTTTGGCCCAGGTGCATCCAATGATGCAGGACCATGTGCCATACGGCTCTTTCTAGTTTTCATACTGGTCTTGGGTAGTTCAAACATGTGAGGTGGTGGCCGGTAGAATTTTGATTCATCAGACTCAGTAAATGGCGAATCATATTCATCAGAGTCTTTGTTCAAGAATTCTGGAGGTGGACAAACACTATCGTAGTGGTGAAGTATTGTAGCATTACTTGAAAATTCTGATGTAGACACGCCAGCTGAAGTATCATCACCAAACGATAGCCTAGGTTTGTTCGTAGATGGTGCTCGACGCGGTTCTTCTGTTTCTTCTTCTACAAAATCTTCATTATGAATTGTTTTTGCATCTTCATCATCATCAAAATGTTTTTGTTCCACTGGTGTAAGGTCTTCACTTTTAGGAGAAGGCCATTGTTCGACTGGTGGAGGAATATCAAATGCATACTCTTCTGGTAATGGCGGCAAATCTGGTAAGCTATCCATCGCATCAGAACATAAACTTGGCTGACAATCACTAGACAGTATTGAATCGTCTAGTGACGCTGATTGAGTAGAATATTTTGTTGATAACTCATCGTCAATTTCAGATTTTTCTGATGTACTTTGTTCACTTATTCTAGACAATGTTCGTGACATTCCATATATACCATACCCTATGAGATACATACCTGAATAAGTAACATCTGGAGTTGGTGGTAAAGGACTAGAGGTGACATCTTCTTCATCGGCAATGTTTCCGCTCAAATCATCCATATGAGGCGGATCATCAAGACTTGAACTACCAGAACTTTCTAATGAAAGTCTATGATGCCGTTTAGGTTCTAACTTTGGTGGTATTTCAATGCACCCTAATTTATTAATTAACTCAGCATGATCAATTTCTTCTATGAATACATCTGAACTAGGATCAGGCTCTTTTTCGCTTTGATCATTTCTATCTAATATTAAGTTATCTGCTTCAATTACAGTATCCTCAATAATTTCTGAAACACTCTGACCTGTTTTTTGAGCTGTGCGTTTTGTTTCATCTGAACTTTGAGAGTCAAGTTCTTTAAATGGTATTTCTTCACTACTTCCAGAATCATCGACAGACATCCAATCGTCATCAGTCGAACATTTGTTGTTAGATTTATTATTTTGGTTTTTTATGTCAGTATTAGGTGCACAAGTAATATCAGACACAATAAAAGTTTCATCTTCAAAGTCCTTATGTTCATAATCAATAGCTGACGCCACATTTAATTCTTCAGAATCCCAAACTTCAATTTCAAAATTTTTTAATTTTTTTAAAGAGTCCAAACGTTCTTGTCTAGTACTTGAACGTCTTCTTTCAGGTGTTACACTTGATGACAGTGATTTACTATTACATTCTTCAGATTCTTTAACAACAGCATTGATTAAATATGTAAGGCATTCTACAACAGTCTCATCAACTTTAATGTTCCACCATTTGATTGGTTTTTCTTCCAACTCTACCTCATCTTCGTTATCAACTGTATCATCTTTACTAGAAAATGACGTAACTAAAGGAAGTTGATGCAGGGAAACAACTGGTGAATCTAAAGAAATAGCCCGCCTCTGTGACTGGTTTTGCCCAGATACATTTGGAAATGCTGAACCCTCAGATAAACCTAACCTAGCAAAAAGTATAGGAGATTTTTCTCTATTCTGAGATATTTTATCAGGTAGTATTTTTCTCAATAATTCGGAAGGTGACTTGTCTTTTTTTAAAGTAGTAAATCCATCAAAGTCAGCTATTTTTGTTGCTAAAGATTGGAATTTATTGATTTTAACATCCTTAGATTCAGTATCTATAGGTTGTGGCACTGTAATTTGTTGTGAAACCATCATACTAGACAATGCATTTTTCAATTTTATTTTAGTTTCGTTAAAACTGTTACCATCAGGAACGACTTGCTCTTCGTCTTTTCTTACACTGCTAATTTCAACTTTCTGTGTTTCACTAGCTACTTTTGAATTAATTATTTGAGAGCTCTTTACCGAATTGGACACAATATCAGGGAGGGCATTATACTCCATTAATTTATTATGTTTTGTTCCATTATTATCATCATCACTAATCACAACATTTGGAACTATGTGAATAGAATTAGAACTTAAAGCAGAAGCGATTTTAACTTTAACAACAGATGACTTAAAATTGTTTTCTTTTTTTGGACTATTTGAAATACGTCTTTCTGGAGAAATTCCAGGTGAATTTGAAGCAATGGATGTAGAAGCTGATCCTAAACTCTTGTTATCTTTACTGCCCAATGAGTCCTTTCTTAATTTTTTAGCTTTTCCACCTCTATATTCCACAATTATAATTTCTTCGGGTTTAGGCTCTTCTTCATCAGGGTCAATTTTTATAACTTCTACTTCTTTTTTTAATCCATTATCTGCACTTCGAGGTTGGTAACAAATTTTCTTGACTTTACTCACAGGTACACTGTCAGCACTATGACAAGACTTCAGCTTGTTATTTTTTTCACCAGACGATGGTCTAATTTCAGATTCATTGAATGAAGTTGATTTGTATGCCATTTGAATAAGCTCTGAACTTTTAGATGTGGTTACTACATCATCGTAATATTTATTTAATAAAAGTGTATCTAAATCAACAGGACTGTCATCTTCAACACTTACGTTACCAGTGGATTGTGTTGATAATGATAGGCCTGAATCTTGAGAATAATGATCCGAACCACACTTAATTGTCGACCATTTGACTGTACTTTCTTCATTAGGCGAACCCTCAATTGTGTGTCGTTTATGTAATATATAGGGTATATCTAAATCTAATTTAACAATACTTGGTTCAAATGTATCAAGGGGTGTCAAATCTATAGACTTTTGATGTAGCAGTCTATGAGATTTATGTTTAGGAGCACTCATATATGAATCACTTTTCGTTCGTTCCACGGGAACATGACCAGTTTCACCTTTATTTTCAAATGCATTGAATCGAATTGTATTATTAGCAAAAATTTGCTCTTTACTTCGGGAAGCCAATTCTTTTTTACAAATTTCATTAAACTTATTGAACTCTATATCTCTATATTTAGGCTCTAAATAACCAAATCGTTTTTCAATTGCTAAAGTATTTTCTTTATTATCATTTTCTACAAAAAATATTTCATCTTCATCATCACTAATAGTATTATTAAATACTTCTTTTTCTAATAACTCGTATGAATCTTGACTAATGTCATCTTGGTACATATCATCTTTATCTGGTACTACCCTAGCATTACCAGTAATTTCAAGTTTACGATCACTACCACTTTCAGTTGATAAACTAGAAGTTGTACCCGGATAACTACTTGAGAAAATTTTTGTAATAGGATGATCTACTGAACTGTTTCTATCAAATGAGGAATTTACTTCTTCGTTTTCAACTGGAGGAGTTTCACCAGAACAAGACCTAGATGAATTAAACTCTTTGCAGCTAGAGCTACGTTGCCAACTATAAATGGAAGGGGTTGATTTATCAATAAGTATTAAATCAGTCTGACTAGATTGACATCTAATATCTTTGTAAAAAGTTTCAGAATATCTAGAGGACGCGTATGATTTATCAGTGTCATAATCGTCTTCGTAATAATTTGACCTGATAACATTTGTACGTGTACAAGGTCTAGTGCAAATGACGTTTGGGTACATAATAATGTTGTTTACGGCGGAATGTTTCTGACCTGGATCGTTGACGCTGTACGAGTGCTGGGACGAAGTGATGGAAGTTATGTCCGAAGTTGTCGTCATCACTGTCGTCGGATGTACAACTTGAGCAGTCGACACCTCTCCAAGCACCACCTGGCGATGGACTGCGTTCGGACTCAGAGAACCCGCTAGGCTCGTGGCTTCCGAATTTGCTAAAAAAAAAATTAAATGTAGAATTAATAAGAGCTTAGAAAGAATTAAATGTGGGTTATTATTAAATGTTTTAAAAATATTTGTTATTCATATTTTTGGTTTACGGATATTTCTTTAGAAAAATAAAATAAAACCAAGATGCATGCTACACCTACAAAGTTTATTGAAATCATGCTTAAATCTAGCTGACAATAGTAATCAAGAAAAGTGTTGAAAAAAATATACATGTATACATATTATGAATGTATAGATGTATAGTATAGTGTTGTATTGTAAATAAAAACTTAGAAAAAAAATTACCAAGTTAGTTAAACCAATAAAATATTTTCCAAAAAGCTGCTGTATCAATTAATATTTGGATATAATTTTATGTTGATATCTTCCCAAATACTATAAATAGCTTATAATACATACCATTGTTTAATTTATTAATTATCATAAAAAAGATTATTTGATTAAATCAAAATATAAGAACTTAATAATAAACTTATTATAATATATAAATTGTAATTTTTTTAATAAAACTAAATATACTATTAATAGCCTCCTTCATATGTTTCAAAAGTAATCTTGAAAGTACAGATAAATATATGATGTGTAATGTACTATTTGCATAATGTAGTGTTTTTAATATGTATACTGTATAATTAATATTTTCATAACTTTTAAAAATTTAAATAAAATAAAATGTTTATTTTTAGTTGTACATAAAAAAACATTTCAACTTTAAAAATACTTGAAATTATACTTTATTATATGGACAAGATATTTATAAAAAAAAACTAATATTGGCTATAAAAATTACAAAAAGATAATTATGAAGTGGCTCCAATAACATAAGAAATTATAAACTTAAGTTAAATAAATTATGATAAATAAAAATTAAATCGCAAAAAACATACCGAGGGGCAATAAACGATGTGCTGGTAAACTGTCAATAATACAACCAGCAAGCATGGAAGAATGCGACAATCCGGGATGCCGAAATGATTGAGACCTGTTGGCAGAAACAGGGCAAACGGTGTAAAGAGAAACACTATTTTTTTTCCAATGAAAGTAACCCATTAAATTATTTTAACACACCATCAGAAACTTACTATTTGATGTTGTTTATAATTACTTTATTTTTGTTTTCCAAAAATATCAGTGCATAATAAAACATGCATTTGGAAACATTTTCTATCCACATCAGTGTAATTCTTTTAACATAGCTTTTTTTAGGTAAACAAATTATTGATCTTAAATGGTAAGAAAAAATTAAAAATACTACTGTAAAATAGATAGTATTAAATAATTATGGAATTGTGATCACCTGATTAGTATTGATTTCAAAATAACATGTTGCCACCAAGAAAAGAAACTAATACCAAGTTAATACTTTAGAGTTTAGACTGTAATATTTTAGACCAAATGGAATTATAACATACAGAATTCTAACATTTGATGTACTTCTTATAATCTTAAACTTTACTACTGAGAACACCGTACAATTTTAAACATTTAAAGTGAATAAAATCTAATTATTTATAAATGTGAATATTTACTTCAATAAACTAAAAATTATATTATATACATATGTATCATAACTAATAAGCTCAAAATATCAAGTCCCATATTGTTTTATAACAATTATTAATAACTACAAAATATCTTAAAGTGATATTTTAGTTTCTGATGTGTTTTAAATTTGGAGCCACTTTCATTGACATAAATGTGAGAAAAATAAACAAAAATTCATTCTCTTCTAAACTGTTGCATGCTAAGAATCACAACAACCAAGCTATTCTTATGGTTGTGTGTTATTACTACTAAAAATAAAAATTAATTAATACTCATTTTTCATTAGAATAGTTTTATTTAAGTTGATTTTTATTAATTGTCATTTATGTGTTATGACTTATATATAGACTTACCTTTGGAATGTTTGACGTTTAACAAAGTTTTCCCTAACAAATTCCACCATTTGTTTTTGAGTTTTACCACTATATCTATAATTTAAAATAAGTTTTTTTTTAAATGTATGTTTATATATATCATACAGGTATTACTAAATTATCTACCTGAATGATGATCCTCGACTTAGAACTTTGGTCCGTTGACGTGGTAAACGTTTTACAGTGAAACATCTAAAAAAGCCATGATTTTCTACACATTTTTTCCAAAAACTTTTACAATCATTACGAGTTTCAAATATAAATTCCACTATATCTTTAAAGTAACCCTGTAAATATTAAAAAATACATTATTTTAAAATAAAATGATATTGAAAACATTCTTTATTTAATAATTAATATTAAAAAACTTACATATCCCTCAGGATGTAGTTTGATAAGGAATTTTTTACGTTTAAAGCTCAATTTTCGGATTTTGGCCCAAGAAAATGTATTAATTTTTGTAAAATTTTGAAAAACCAACACGCCCAAATGTGCAACCGAAAGATTTAAAGGAACACCTTCAGGGTCCTACACAAAAAAAATTGATAAAAATCAGAATATTTTACCAAAATCCAACAATTAACAACTTACCTTTGCTGAATGCATTTTGATCCCATATAATTCACACCGACGTGCAGTTTCTAATAAATTTAAATCGGCTTCTGCTGGTGTTTGTCCGCTACAAAATAATTTTAACAATATTATTTAATCAACAAATATATTTAAAAGGACTTACATATGCCTTTTATGACTTTCCATTATTCTTATTTCCATTTCTCTGTCTTGGTGTGGAACAAATTTATGTGACGATAAATAAGTGTGATCTGGATAATCGTCAGCAGAATAATCTCCACATTCAGCTAGAACATTTTATTTACAATTAGTTGCAAATTTATATAAAAAAAAATATACCATAATAAATTTTACCTTGTACAATATAAGAGGCCATTAAAGCAGCAGTGTTATCATTACATTGCATGTGCCCATGTGATAAATCTCGTTTCACTTGTAAACAAAACAGATACCTGGTGTATTCCTCTTCCAATTGAGCAGGATCAGGTGTGTAGAACTTAACACAAAACCTCATTAATGGTTCCACAAGCGACAGTCCTATTTGTTTGTTTAATGGCTTTTCTAGGTCTAACCAATGCTGAAAAATACAATAAAAAATACAGTCATCACCATGAGAATAATATATTTTTAGTACAAAACTTACTTTTGTAGAACCTTCTTGATATTCAAGGCCAAAATAATCGGCTTCCAACAAGTTTAGTTGTTTACATACTTGTTCAAATAACACTGACCCGTCAGCTTTTGTCTGTAACACACACAATATTATATAATAATTCCATTGTCCTTAGAGAATAAACCAAGTTTGATGTCAAACCTGCACTTGAAACAGTGTAACTGAATCGTCCAACATTTGGACACGAACGTTGAGCATTTTCCCTCCCCTTCTGGGTGTCGTTGGCGGTGTTTTAGAACCAGACACACCGGGAGTGGATTGTGAATGGGGTATTTTGTTCAGAGAACTTCCCAGCGAGCTTGGGGTAAGTGTTTGGTCTTTTTCCACTGGAGACATTTTCTATACTTATTTTAAAACTAATTTAAAAGTAACAAAAACCGAAAAAATTCACGTAACATAAAACATTAAAATGGTTCAAATCATGTTTTCCTATCAACATTGATTGGTTCTGTGTGATTGGTAGAATCTGTTCGACCGCGGTAACACCAATGAAATTCCATCTGAAATCAAAATCATTATATTGAAAACTGAACCCGTATTGTAAAATAAAATTAAGTTTAGTATTTTTTAGTATGTCAAACGGATATAAAATCCAACACTACATTGGGAAGGAAGCAATCATACTTTTTTACGAATCTATTTTTAATGATTTAAAAGAAACGAGGGGATAGTAGTGACAAACTCGTGTAGTAGTTCTATTTATTTAAGCCGGCACAAATAAAAACTACTGCGGATAGACGGGTGTATGCGTGTATGACGTCGAGTGTTGTGACCTTAAACGATTAGACGCCACCTAATTCAGTTGAACGTATTAAATAGAAAAGGTCTCTTGCATACAAAGCCGTACACTTCATCGTTCAATGGACTGCATAGCGATGCCAAATTGTTTAAATTAATGTGTCTTCAATTTAATTTCATAAATAAACATATAAATGTATATAATATTATGCGTAAGTAAAAGAAAAATCGCTTTGCGTCAATTATCATCGAATGACTACCAGAATACGTATCATATTCAATAGTATATACCTATATATAATTAAACTTCGTTGGTTACATATTTGTAACTTTATTTGTTTTACATGCATAAAGACCAAATCTAAAAAAATATATACAGATACGAATTAATGTATACAAGGCTTTTTAGTGAAAACCCGGAGTTTTATTGATGTACGTGGTTATTTGAGGCAACTGTAAATCCAAGTAAATCTCGAGAAACAAAGACATTACTTTTTTTTTATCTAATCGCACTTTAGTGGTTTGACTTCTAAATATTTGAATACTATTTATTTCTTTACGAATTGACATAACACTAGACATAAGAAATAATTGTATCCATGGTTGATTGTTTAACAACAAAGGAATTTAAAATGCTGCTGATAATGCATTACATATCGTCATATCGTATTCATAATACTCGGACAGTTCGATTTATTTAAATATATGTACACATGAAATAATATACATAATACTACATATTATCACATATTATGTAGGTTAGGTTAGTTAAGAAACGGGTGAACAAAATTGAACATACACTCACTGCTCAGTCACTTATTTAGTTATTTTACTGTAAATATATTCACAAGAACAATTTATAACTTCCTTTGTTAGGTGCTAAATAATTCTTACTAAAAAAATTAATTCTAGAATTTTGATTTTAAAAAAAGTCGTTATTAAAATGATTTCTTTTACAACTGATAGCACCTATCTAGGTTTAACCCATATATTAATAAGTATAAGTTATTAAGAATATAGCTATTTAATTACAATATAAGTAGGTATCCTGCGTATTTACATATTTTGTTTATCATATGTAAATTTAAGGTAGAAAAATAAACTCGAAGGTACATGCCTACCTACATCATAAAGTATAATATTATGTTCATTCAAGTTCTAAGTTCATATTAAAAACTCTAATATATTATATTATTAACCTTGTATAGTCCAACGAAAAGTAAATTTATTTTCTACAGAGAATGCTGTTGGAGGATTATCTAATCTTGTATGGTGTATGTATCATATAGAATTATCTAATGTTCATGTATATATCTTAGACGATCATTCGTCTTGTCTGTGTAAATTCACCTTATGATAACAGTAGTTAAAAATTACGTAAAATACATAAAACGAAATGTCATATCATTTAAGATAAGGTTTATAAAATATAAATAAATAACGAAATTTACCTCTAGATCTATCGTTATCATTAATATTAATAATTATGTAACTGCCTTAATCTACCTTAAGATAAAGTGAATAAAAAAACGAATAATAAAAAGTAACTAAACATACACGTATTTGATCTTAACTCTTTAAAATATATTTTATTCTAACCTTTAGGGAAAAGATTGTGAATGAAATAGTTGTTACATAATACATAATAAAAAACTAAACTTAAAATTTAACGTTGTACCATTTATAGATCTTAATTATCAATCTAACATAATATTTTAAACGAACCATATTCAAGTTTTAAGAAGAAATCCAAAATTAAATTATTGTACGGCCAACTAAAAGTCGGCAGTCAATATTGAAAACGGTATATTGAAATCATTATAAAATCAGTACTCCTTTAGTTAATCTAAAATTGTATGATCTTCTACTGTGTGTAATTTCAGATGTAGATTCCAAACGATATCGTAAAAGTATCATCTTTTATCTAGTAAAATCGATTTACCTATAGGTATAACCTCTTGTCTAATAAATTTCAAATGTTTAAAGTTCTTCAGTGATCAGTCAAATAGTGTGTCACATTTTCACTGTCCACGGTCCACCACAAATTAGGTATATGTATATATTATGTTGAATTATCCTATTAGGCGCATATTATTGTCAATTGCCATTTTCCAAAGTTAATAGTTCGCCTTTTAAATTATATTAAATTTAATTGCACTGTTTGATGTTAGTTTATTATCAATATATTATTCGATACGTTTACATGTATTTATATTATATCTAATTGTGTGTGAATGTGAACTTATATTTGTATTCAGAAGACTAAGTCCGTTTAGTGAGTACATATATTATATTGTATCCTATATGAGTATATTATATAAAAACTTATTCAGAATTGAGTTTAGAGAAATAAAATAAAATAAATTTGCTCCGCAAACCACGTCACCTAGATACCCATAAAAAATGTTTAAACAAAGAAAACGAATTTAATGTTTTGTTGTATTCCTTGTTAATTTTTATGAGTGTAGCCTATTTTGCGCCCCGACGGTTATGGACATTTGAGCCCCAAATAAAAACATATCACACTGATTTGATGCGTCCATCGGCATGCAATGTTATCATTTATCAGTAGTTATCGAGGTAGTTATCGTTTAAGAAAAAAGTTAATCATTCCCGAAATAATAAAGATATTATGGTTCTAATCTTTTCACGTGATTAATTATTATTTTTTATAAAATCAATAATAATAATTAATACAATTATCGGATAAATGTTTATAAAAAATCAAAATAAATAATAAATACTACAGATATAATATATCTACATATTATTCACTATTATTGGTTTTGATATTATACAGTACAGTTGTGTTTTACTTGAAATAGTAAAGTTATATTAAATTCCATTGTTACCAAGTAATACTACTCATGTGCTGATGCAACTGATACAGAAATTACACATGATAAATGTATCATAAAATTATCTTTACAATTTTGATTTGCATATGTTTGCTTATATAATAAGAGCTATACATATTTTACTGTTTTAAAAATATTAACGAATATAATCTTCATATCTAATGTCAATAGTTTATTTTGTTACCAAACTTTACATAGGAAATATGTGTAAAAAATGATTTTTGGAAAAAGTATTACGAAATTCTAAGGAATTGTACAAAGGTTTGTGTCCTCAATGTGCTTATGTTCACTTTAGATCACAGTTTATTTTTTGCTTAAAATCCCCTTTGTATACCACGAGTTCGATTTCGTAGAATCTCTGTACCTAATAAAAATAAGATGATCAGTAAACGCCGGAAAACGATACAATCGAATTTCAGTGTTTATGGGACTCTATACGTTGTAAGTTATTGTCAGAAGATAGGACAAGTTTTAACCGTTTTAACCCAACTCTGTTAATACGTTTATCGTGTAATTTAGGCCATAAAAACGGACAGTCACGGGGGTGTACAGATTCATATAATAATATTTGAGGGGAGATTCCACGAATATCAAGAAGTAAAACTAATTTGATCGATAGTCATAGTTACGAATTATTACTATTATGGCCCAACCTACCATAATATAAAGCAAAACCACAGGGTGGGGGAAAAATAACTGTACTGTCAATCAGTGTCGGCCTCATAGGCGCAATTTGGACAACTGATTTGGGGGGACTAAGTTTATAAAATCAATACAGACCCTCATAATTTTTTTAATAGTTAGATTTGAGAATGAATATCTTAGGGGGGCTTAAAAAAAATTAGGGGGCTAAGCCCTCCTAGACCCACCTCCAAAATTGCGCCTATAGTCGGCCTGGTCATAGCCGCTATGCCACGAACGGGGTTCTGATAGTACTATGAATATTGGATATTGAATATTATTATATATTATATCATTAAAAATTATAATACTATTATAGGTATCATAATTTTATCAACAATTACTGATATAAATAAAATCAAATACACAACTTGAAACGCATTAAAAAATATTAAGTTGTATAAAATTTATAAGGTATTATTTATATGATTTTTTCGAATTATAAATAATTACTTTAACTTAAATGTGTATTTTATAAGGTACCTTTAAAAAAAAATAATATTTTGCACTACCTGTTTATTAGCACTTTTTTTTTATCATTTTTGGAGGCCAGGCCGACACTAGAGTCTCAATATTATAAGTTGTTGTTCAGTGGTGTTTTTAAAATTTGGTTTGACAACAATAACAAACGTTTTGAGGTGGAGGAAAACTTACACTTCTTATCAATGTTTCACATATGGCCGAGGCCCGTGACGTTCCAAAATATCAAAAAATGACACACGTCATATTGTCATTGTCACACACGTGCCACGAGTCACGACGGCCGGCGTGTATACACAGTACACACTCAACGTATAGCCACCATCTACAGTGAGTCAGTTCGGTGTGTTGGGTTGGTGTATCGATCGTCGCGCGAAAATTTTTCAAAACAAATTTGATTTTCATACACTCGTGAATGAGTGATAATAATATAATATTGGGTACTAGGAAAAACTCAAGAAAAAGAAAACACAGACGCGGTGGCAGGACAACAACTATAGATAGGAAGTGAGATGAAATAGATACGCTGTACATAATATGCACCACACCGTTAATACAGACTACAGAGTCGGTCGCGCT